TAGAAGATGAAGAAAGTGAAGAAAACACACCTGGAGTCCCACTCATATGATCGGAAGCTCCAAAATCAATGATCCAATGGGAGGGTTTGGATGCCAAACAAGCCATACCTGAGTGGGCAAGCATAGTTGTACTCGACTGAGAAGTTGTCTAGATTAATCGCTCATATTCAGTACGTGAAATACTCATCATCTCTTGTCCAGAGGCATCTATAGATGTAGGTGTCTGACTAGTCTATTGATTCCCTTGTTCCATACCACCACTAGCCACTGCATGATTTGCCCAAGATGAAGTTGGACCATGCAGATCATAGCAAAAATTAACAGTGTGTCCATCCATACCACAATGCGTACACCTCCTCCGACCATTATTACATCCTCTACCACGAGCTCCCCCTAAATCTCGGCCTCCAACACGCCCACCACCATGAATGTACATGTGTCCACCTCTACTACTACAGCCTGGCCATAGTTGTCAAGGTGACACCTAGGTGACAAGGCACCCTTTGAGGCTCGCCTCGCCTAATCACCTAACAGTTTTCTACTTCCAACTATAAAATACTTTTTTAGCCACTCTTTTTTAGGATTATAATTATAAAATAAACATTAAACTAAAATAATCATTTTGTGTGTTTATATACTAATTTCTTTTTATTATTTTCTTATTTATTAGGGTTTAATCAACACGAACATTGCTAAATGCTGTATTGAACCCTCAAAGACTTAAAAACCTGAACCAATAAGTAAGGAAGAACTAAAAATTTTATCAAATCAGCACATTTTCCTCTTCCATATATTCTTCTTCTACTACTGCTACCAATACTTTTTATTTTCTTCTTTTCCTATAACAAAACTAAGGGTTCAGCCCCTATATTTTTCTAATACTATTTTCCTTCTTCATTTTCTTCTCATGAATATGTTGATTTTCTATACTTCAATAAGAAATTTATACTTTTCTTATGAAAATCATGAATAATTATTAAAGAAATATGGTTATGGTACCTAGGAACTACCCTAGGATCTAAGTTTTTAACATAAAAAATCCATCGCCTAGGCGACTAGGCGACTAGGCGCCCCCCAGCCACCTAGCCTCGCCTTGACGCCTTGAAAACTATGGACCTGACCGACTCTGATGAGCAACACCTCTACCATCACAACCTCCCTCCCTTGTCACTACAAAAGCAGACCTGTCCGATATGGTAGGGTTTTCCGGATGTCCAATGGAAATCCTCCGGAGACGGGCAAACACCTCTTCAAGAGAGGGGAGGGAAGACCCACCCAGAATTTGAGCTCTCACCGGTTCATATTCAGATTTCAAACCCACCAAAATCTAGTAACATCAAGCTGTTCTCTCTGCTGTTTCTGAACTTTGACATCTGATGTAAGAGGGTGATACACATTTAGCTCATTCCTAAGATTCCTCAGACTAGCATATCCTCAAGACTCTGATTACCCTGCTGCAGATTAAAGTACTCTTGATAGAGTTGGTATACCCTAGTGGAATTGTCCAGCCCTGAGTAAAGTTTCTTTGCATGATCCCAAATCTCCTTGGCTGTCTAAGAACATAAAGTTCACACTAATCTTGGGTTCCACGCTGTTCCATAACCAAGTCATAATTTGTACATCTGCTTGTTCCCAATCATTGTATTCTTCGAATTCAACTAGAGGTTTTTCTTCTCTCACATGTTTCGCTTTCTTCTTAGCTCTAAGAAACACTTCAACAGATTTGGCCCAAGGGACATAATTTTCTCCATTCAGTTTGATGGAGGTCATTTGCACATTCAAGTAGTCAGGAGGGACCATAACAGATTTGTATTCACTGCTGTCTCCCATGGCTGCCGAAAAAAATATTAATTTTTCTTTTATTCACACTAATATGTTACCCAAACTCACCAACACCCACCACACTACACTCCTATAGTTGAGCAATCACCATTATCCCACAACACTTGCGGCTGACCATTGCTGAAACATCCACTGTTACAGATTTCAGCAATGGTAGCTAAACAGTCTCCTCTTTCAGCACCTCACAAGAGACCACCACACACAAGAACATCACACAGCACTCCATATACCTCCGGCCACCTGTCTGAACCACATGCCTGAACATAGATCACGAGTTTACTGTAGCAACCCTCGTCAGTCCATCAGAGGGTGCCCTACCAGCCACCTGAAACGACCACACCACACTCAGCTAGAGGCATTAGAACCTCTAGAAGGAGAAAACAACCACTCCTTTTCAGCCTTTTTGACAAACTCCAAAAACCCTAAGAGAAATCAGCAAAAACCTCAACTAGGGCGCACAGAGACTGTACAGATCCGAACCAATCTAATAAAGCTCTGATACCATGATAAAGTTCAGATCTGTAAACCTGTCGCCTCCAGATTAATCAGGGAAGAAAAAGAAAAAGAAGGAAGAAAAGAAAAGAGAGGAAAGAAAGAAGAGTGAGGAGAGAACCTGGTTCGAACTGAAGAGAAAAATCTGTTCTCTACATTCGGCCAGGGTGTATTAGCCTTTCTAATTTACATGCAAATGACTCTTATGCCCCTACTTAAGTATGGGACACATCATCTAACTCAAAGACATATCACCATACTGATAAAAATTAAATGACCACTCTACCCTTATTTAGTCAACACTAACATCAGGGAACAAGTTTGTCAATATGGATGTTACCTTTTATGAGTCTACGTTCTTTTTCTTTGGTGGCTCTCCTTAGGGGGAGTTCTTTGGGGAGGAGAGCTCACAGTCTATTCCTCTTCTTGTTCCTTCATCTGGTCCATTAGCTCCATCAGTTCCACCTGTTGCTCCACCATCAGCTCCTATCCCACTACCTGATCCACTATAGCCTGCCTCACAGTTCTTTTAGTGTCATCACAAAAGGTTTGACTCCACACATGCTCCAACGGAAGAACTTGATCCAAGGTTCGACAAATACAGTTCCAGGTATTTCTCTTGAGCCTATTATTGCCTTTGATGTCTGATCCCATTGATGATGTTTCCTTACCTAACACTCATGTAACAGCTGATCTTGATCTTCCCATTGCATTCCACAAGGGAAAGTTTTCAAGTTGAGGATCTTGTTTTTCTCTGCCTCCAGCCTTAGAGGCAATAAACAGTGGTAAGACAGGCTTGGCATAAATTGAACCATGATAGTTAGGCCCTATTTGCATCCTTGGCAGAGCAGAACAGTGGCCTACAAACTAGAGCTCTCTTCATCCTCAAAATTGAATCATGTCTTAGTGCTCAAGAAGTTAGTTCTGAGGGACATGATGTGCAGTTCCACCCTTCTAGACATCATAGAGGACAAAAGTTGCAAGTACTGATCCATAAAATCATTGACCTGCACTAGTTTTGTGGTCCAATTTGCTGCTGGAGGATGTGAGGACAGTTGATCTGCAGGCAAGAGGCTATTGTTAAGGCCACAGTCGCAGCCCAGGCCCATCTTCCAAGACATTTTGGTTCCTGCACTTCAGAAAGTTCTACAACCAGGGACCATGATGTCAAGTGGCATATGGCAAGCGAGAAGTTAGTTAAAATTGCTGGGAGGGTGTGATTCACCTTGATGTAAGCCTATACAAGGTAAGGATGCTTTAACTTAGGGTAAAGTATGTTTCCAATTTCTTCCCTCTCATTTCTTCTTTTATATCTTTCTATTTCTTGGAGGTTTGGCACCCTTGACTGTTTAGAGTAGAGATGAACATGGGACTACAGAAGGTTGGTGGGCAAATTGACCTACCTGACCATTACCCGACCAGATATATCATTTGCTGTGAGTGTGGTGAGCCAGTTTATGCAACATCCTCGGGTTCCTCACTGGGAAGCTGTTCTGAGAATTGTTAGGTACCTA